GAATTCTCCAAAGATCATTCTAAGCAACTGTATAATCTGTCATCTAAAACAGTTACTGGCAGTAAAACAGTGCCAGAGAAGTCTGATCCACATAAAAATGAACTTACAAGAAGAAAATCACAAGTGTGCAGCAACAACAGCAAATGAAATAGTGAAAGCTATTATATCATGGAATTAATTCCTAAAAGTAAAGTTTCTAGAACCATGGAATGCCAAAACAGATTTAAGGCCATACTGGAGAACTCCAACCTGGAACCAATGTTGTATGAACTGTGGTAAAGAGATATTCAGTGCTGAACAGGTGAGTTAGAGATGTAGTGAGCTTTATGGGTTAATCTCTAGTATCATGGTAATCAGTTATTGGATGTCAGTTCTTCTTAGACTATTGCCTTAACTTCCTTATAATACTCTTATAAAGAGCATGAGACTTCATAAGGGATTTCAGCAAACATCTGAGAAGAAGCTGTGTGTAAAATGATTGGAGATAATGGATATGTTGAATAGTGCCACTTCAGCTGTACCCGAGTTGAGCTTGAGATAGCCGCTCTTCCTCACAGAACCGATCCTTTTCAGACTTCGTAGAATCCTTGCACTAAGACTAGGTTTATCTCTGGAAGATGAAGAAATGGATCTTGCCAGTAAAAAGCTGGCAAGTTCCTACATGTCCAGGAGCAAAGTACTCAAACTTCTCTACTTGCAGAACACATTAAAGGGAGAAATTGTTCCCACAGTCATCAAATTAATAATAAGCCAATTGGAAGAAGTCAAATCAAGCATTTGTGTGGAGAGAAAAAAAACTCTTGGCATCATGCCCTGCTCTCCTGTAGATATGTGAGATTCATAAACAGCCCTTTCATCAACATGATATAATCCTCCCAAATGACAAGAAGAGACAGTTAATATGTCAATTGAGACTGTCAGAGAAAGATGAGATTTTGATTAAGGATAAAAAAAACAAACATTATTTCATCTGTTACTCTACAGCAGTGCTGATAATACTCTGATGCTTTTGCTGCCAAGATTTCCAGTTTGAAGTAATCAATAACTCCAAATCATATTATTCAGAGATAGAGTACATTTTCAGTTCCTGGGCATTATTCTGTGTCCTAAGATATTTCAGGTGTTCTTCAGCTCCGAAACTTTCTCCCTCCCAATTATACACTTTTCACTACACCTTCCATTTAAAGTACAACCACCAGATTCTTTATTTCAGCACACTGCTCCCTCCCCTACACCCACAGAATGGTTTGACATTGGAAGAGACCTCTCAGGATTACCTGGTCCAAGCCCCTTGCTCAAGCAGGTTCACCTACAGCTGCTTGTCCAGAACTACATCCAGTCAATTTAAGGTCTCCAAATACAATTACTCCACAACCTGTTTGGCCAACCTGTGCCAGTGCTCAGTCACCCCCACAGAAAATTAAGTCACAGGTACTGAGTAAGGCCTGAGTTACTGAGTAACCCCACATTCCTTCCTTTGCCTTCCCTATTGATCATGACACTGCCATGAGAACCAACACATTGCTAATACCAGATTCCCTGCATGAAAGAAGTGGGTTTCTGAACTTCACAGAAACATTAAATTAGCAATGAGGAATTCTGTCACCCAGGAAGCCACATCTTCAGTGAAAAACCTTCCCTGATATCCTGTATGTCCCACATATAACCACCAAGAACAAATGTGTTTTCAGACACTAACAACCTATAGGTTTAACTGAAGCTTAGAAACCTGTGAACATTTGTAGGTAACACTGCTTCTGCCCCTGCTCAGCGTTTATAGAAACTGCTTTGCACTTGTGTAGCTACTTTTGTCTTGATTATCCCAAAGTAGTTCAGAAACAATCAGTTAAGCTTCACAACACCTTGAAATGAAGGAAATGTTGAATTGACAGCTAGGGGAAAAAGCTAGTCATTCTAGATCTAAATGCATAGATATCACAACTTGACACTGTGTTTATTTTAGTTTGTGTTATGTATGTATGTAGCTGTCACTGACTTTAAAAGACACAGAAGACAATCCAGAGCTGTAAAAAAAATACTCCTATTCAACCATATGAATACATACTTAGATGCTCAATTTTAAGCAATACATTGCTAGGTTAAAGAGGAATCTCCATAGACTTTGGAAACAACACAGGAAAAAAAAACCCCACCTTACATCTGGGGGTGTCTTTCACCAACTTATCCCAAGGGGCTGCACTGGATTAACAGCTTTCACTGGAATGAGGATATCTGGAGTGCACAGTGACAAATCCTTCCCAGCCCATAGGAACTTTAGAAAATAGCCTAGATGAAGTGAAGGGAGAAGGCTGTACTCAACTGAAACTGCAGGGAAGTTCTAGGTCAGCAAAATGCAATTACTAGAGCTGAGTAAGCACTGGAGGAAAAAAGTCCACTAATATTAATTGGACTTTCAAAAAAAACCAAACCTTACTTTAACTTGCAAGAATAAATCTAAATATGAAAGCGTAAATAGTCCCAAACTATATGTTTGAAAGTGATTATTCACACTTTATATTCTAAATGGGAAATGGCTGGTTAAGCAGCACAAATCACAATTACAATGCAGAAACTGTACTCCTTAGGCACCGTACTACTTAAGCACTGAATTAAGACTGTAATTTGAATCATGAATATCCCCAACAAATCGTTCATAAAGTATTCACACAGGGAAAATATTTTCCAAACAAATTTACAAACTCAGGCAGTAAAATTATGTGATAATTTTCCAAGCATTTTGCGAACAGAAGTAGAATAATGTTCTGAATAAATTATCCATGTGAAATAGCCTCTTATTTTGTGATTACGGACTGGATTAGCCACAGTAACAGAAAGTATCAACGTTTCATTATACAATTGATTTCAATGGAAACACGTGTGGATTTTTCCTATATTTTTCCTAAATCTATCTCATTTAACACAGTTGACTGACTCTCTACTACCACATTGGGATAGCCCTGTCCTAAATACTACTCTGTGGAGAAAAGAACTGTATGTCCTGCAAGGAAGGGACTGGTTTCTTCAGTTTTGAAAACCACTTGAACACTATTATCACTCTTGAAATAGATTTTCTTACAGGATAGTTGGGGTAAGACTCATTATTGTGCTCAAGGCCAGGTTGGCCAGAGCCTTGGGTGACATGGTCTAGGATGAGGCATCCCTACCCATGGAAGGGGGCTGGAACTGGATGATAGTAAGGTCCTCTCCACCCCTAATTATTCTACAATTCTATTGTGTGAAATCTAAGTGTAGGCCACCCTAAGAGAAATGGGTAGAAATAGAATCTGATACATACTTCATACCTATGCAAACTAAGAGAATGTTTTGTTTTTCAAAGGTATTTGGTAGTGATGTTTTAATTTATAGAGAGTATAACAAAAAATTTGCGGGTAATAATGGTGAATTCAAATAGAATGGCACTCCTTTTCCATTTACGTGATATTTTAAGCATCTCCCTTCAAACCAATGCTGTGTATCTATTTACTAAGGATATCTAGTTTATCATGCACTTAGCCAACAAACACAGATGCTAGAAAGAAACATTACTGGCAATTACAGTCTTTGGAACTCTTTGAACTAAAGTGATGTTGCCCATCAGTTGAGATCTGTGCACTGTTTAGGTACAAAAAAAAATACAATTCCAGATTTGTGTTAAAAATCTCATATATTTTGGTTAAAAATAATAACAATGTTTTCTAGAATCAAGTCAGAAATGAGCCTGAGTCTTATTGTATCAAACACACTTAGGGTTACATCAGTCAAAATATCTTGCCAGCTACTGTGAAAAGGGGCAGGATTAAAATCAGATCAAATTTACTGGGTTACTTATTTTGTTTTTTAAAATATATTGATGATTTTACTACTGGTGAAAACTAAAATTACATTTCGTTCAGAAAGGAATATTTTGCTCTCTCTTGCAAATCTGCATTCCTACCAAGAGTTATTTTAACTCCAGGAGCTTTCTCACTTTGGGACATTCTACATTGCACTTCCTATGAATGAGTCTCATTTAGGATTCTAGTAATATATCTCAAGCCTAACCTGCAGTATCTTGCATAATTCAAGTTTTGGTGTCTCATGCAGCTTTGCATTTTCATGTAAACAGCTTCTTTTATGCCTCCCACAAAACAGAACCCTGAATTTGCAATCAAAATTCAGTGCTGAATGTGGGTTTCTATGTCTTAAAACTTTTAATCCACAGGCTTACATTCTCATCCCACATTAAGTAGTAACTTACAACTGAGATAAATCCAAATGTGTTAGGAAATCTAATTAGCAACATCCAAATGTAAACTTGTCAAGTGGATCCATATAAACTAGCGAAGCAAAGTATAAGACAATGAAAAACCATTGAGATTTAAAAGATGAAAGGCTTTGAGCCAGATTTGCACTGTTTTCTGCTAGAAAATTATTTCTGAATTTTGATAAAAAGATAATGGTGCATCTTCCTAAAATGTGTAAGATTTGTAACTCCTTTTGGCTAAACCTAATAGAGAAAAGTTTCTCCAAGACTACCATATGAAAGAACAATTAAGTATACCAGAAATGGAAGATTAAAAGTCAAGAGAAAATAATAACAAAAACGAACATCCCTGTGTGCGCATTCTCTCAAATTATATTTCTTTCAATTTAAATGTATTATGCACAAACATAACTAGATTCAATCATTACAATCCCATAAAACAATGATGTGAAAGGAAATAACTAGAAGTTAAAAGTAACAGAAAAGATGCTCTTAAAGACAATTGGATAACAGAAGCTGGATAATAGAAGCAGCCATCATACATATACAGCAAAACAAAGGACTAGAAAGAAAAGCAGAAGTTTCTTCTGTCAAGTAGCTTGACATGTAGAAGTCAAAATAAATAAGATTGATAGGTGTACAAAATGCTAGCAGGACAAAACATTATAGTTAATCAGCTACCTAAGCATTCTCTTAAGTTTCAAAGGCTTTTATTTTACAGATGGCTTACCAGTTCATGAAACTCTGTGATCCTTACCAACTGGTTATACCAGGACCCTGCTACAGAACCATGCCAAGCCTGTTCCAAACCACACTAATACTAAGGAGCACCAATCATCCCAACACCATTTATCTCCTGCTCGCAGGTGGTTGAGTGCACTAATAGGCTTTAATTGCCCTGATCAGTTTAACCTGGGGCTTCCCTACAAACCTTCTGCTTATGGGCTCAAACACCTCATTTAAGCTGAGATCAACACCATTAGTCTCTGGTTAAGCTGAATGGTCTAAACTTCCCCTGTTTAAGTTTGAACCCATTACCCCTTGTCCTATCACTACAGTCCTTAATGAAGAGTCCCTCCCCACCATCCCTGTAGGCCCCCTTCAGATACTGGAAGGCTCCTATGAGGTCTCCACGCAACCTTCTCTTCTCCAGGCTGAACAGCCCCAACTTTCTCAGCCTATCTTCATACGGGAGGTGCTCCAGTCCCCTGATCATCCTCATGGCCTCCTCTGGACTTGTTCCAACAGTTCCATGTCCTTGTTTGTTTGATTTTGGACAAGACAGTTGGAAAATGACAAGAGGGTTTTCCATTAGAGGAGTTGAACATTTCCTGACAGGCAGGAGGAGCACTGTTCCTATGGCACTAACCAGGATAGATATTTGTCAGCTAGGAATTCAAAAGCAGCTTTAAAAACTCTTACCTGGTATTGTTTTTTCTGCCCCTTCAAGCATGAAAACTCTGACATGTGTGTGACTGAAATACACGGAGAGAAGAAAAGACCAAGGCTGCTGGCTGTCGTAACAACCATCACAGTGATGCACATTTGTGTTTCAAAGCCTGAGTCACCTCCCGTACGAAGACAGGCTGAGAAAGTTGGGGCTGTTCAACCTGGAGAAGAGAAGCTGCGTGGAGGCCTCATAGCAGCCTTCCAGTATCTGAAGGGGGGCTTTTAGGGAGGGTTTTTGGTCCTTTGGATCTTGCTGGGAAATATCTGTGGGAATCAAGTCAGGAGCGATGGGTGTGGGAGATGTGAATTAAAACAAGGTAAAAGGAGATCATGAAATAGACTGGAAGATTTTGGGTTAGAATGGGAAGATTTTGGGTTAGGACTGATAGGGGAAGAGCAGCATGAAGGCAACAAGTGAAGGTATGATCAATAACACCAGCAGCACCCGCAATGTCAGGGCAGGAGCTGTGAGAGACAGTCACATAGCTGCTGTGGGGAGCCATGAGAGGCAGAGGTACTACTTGGAAAAGGATTTAAATCTTCCTAAATAATACAGCATTCATATTTTCATAACATTACATATTTTTTATGATACTGGGTTAAAATTGGATGTTCTATGTCTAACATTACAGCAATTATGAACCAGAAACAAGTGCCAGAGGTGAAATGATACTTATCTTGAGATAGGTTTTGCCTTGCTACTGCAACACGTGGTGGGAAAGCAAAGCTGTCAGCTACTCAGACACAGGAGGGTCAGATAGGAAAAACAAACTGCTACAGAGAAAAGTACTGTTTGTAAAGAACAGAAACCTGTGGAGGAACAAGTGGCATCCAGCAGATCATCAGGCTGGTGTGTACATGTTAAGAGGTGAAGAAGATGATGAGTATTCTTAGAGCTATCCTGAAAACCCCTCTAAATGGGATTTGGCTTTTTGCATAAGTGGAAGTCTTGTTTGCTTGTTGATTGGCATATCTATAGTTGGTTAATTTTTACTAACATCTTTTTAGGCAAATAGCTATCTATTTATATAGAAGGCATTTATATATAGTGTTACTCCCTATAAGTAACGCTTTATACGATTTTATTGTTTAAAGTGACATCTTGAATATATATGCATTAGTCCATATTCCTCCTATTATCATCATCACTGCATCCCCCCCTACAAACATAAGAAACGATTTTATGTTTTATCCACTAATATCTTGCTAATCCCAGGAAGGCACATTTTCAGGTTATTAAAAAGTAATAAACACTTCTCCAAAGCAATTTTTTCTATGCAGAATGGCTGTTTCATATTTACAGCTTTTCAAGAACCCATTTGAAGGAAAATTATTCTTATTATTGTCATCGTTTGTTTTACTGGAAATGTCTTTTGGGGATTGAGCCACAGTTTAGTCAAGGCGCTCTATAATTACAGTACTTTGACTAAATAATAAATGTAATATATGACAAATATAATGGAATTATGTCAGTAATTTTAAAATATATGATTTTCCACATGCTTGCTCCAGGAATTTATAAATAAATATGAAGTTTAATATAATACTTTCCATCTGTTATTCATGGTCTCCTTGTGGATTAGAGCACTTGCTGGTCACATAGTTATAGTTGTCAGTGTTTCCAGATCCTAAGCATACAAGCAAAGCTTCCTTTATATAAGAATCCAGGATCAATAGTAAAAAATTGTGACTAATCTCTAATAAGCAATATATTATGTCAAATTAAATGGTTTTATCTCACATTACCAAAGCTGAAATGAACTAAGAATAAGAGGAATAGAATGTTTAGGATTTAAGTATAGTCAAAGAAAACATAATAATTAAAAAGAGAGAGAAAGAGTATTCCTTCTGATACTGTCTTTACCATTTTCCTGGAAAAGATATAAACCAGGTAAATTCAGGCAACATCTATTATGCTAATTAATGCCAAATAAAAATGTTTTCTTTTCATTTCCATTGTCAGGTTTCTCACTCTAATGCCCATCACTTCATTTAAAAGGTCAGGTACTCATTACATATAGAGTGACGTTACTGTTCTATGAACTTCTGAATGTGTTTTGAGCTGTAACTATTTTCCTGGATTTTCCTGGTAAAGGATGATACCAATTCCTCTGAAACTAGAATGAAATACAGAACAGTTTCTATAAATGACTGTATGTGTTGGAATTAGAGGGGAACGAAGAAGGTATGAAGATAGGCTGAGAATGTTGGGGCTGTTCAGCCTGGAGAAGAGAAAGCTGTGTGGAGACCTCAGAGCAGCCTTCCAGTATCTGAAGGGGGCCTATAAGGATGCTGGGGAGAGACTCTTTATTAGGGACTGTAGTGATAGAACAAGGGGTGATGGGTTAAAACTTAAACAGGGGAAGTTTAGATTGGATATACGGAAGAAGTTCTTTACTGTGAGGGTGGTGAGGCACTGGAATGGGTTGCCCAGGGAGGTTGTGAATGCTCCATCCCTGGCAGTGTTCAAGGCCAGGTTGGACAGACCCTTGGGTGACATGGTTTAGTGTGAGGTGTCCCTGCCCATGGCAGGGGGGTTGGAACTGGATGATCTTAAGATCCTTTCCAACCCTAACTATTCTGTGATTCTATGATTCTGAGATTGTGCTTGTTTGCACTTTGTTTTTCTTTTAAGCATTCAAAGCAGTGGGAAAGGCTGACTAAAACTTACCACCTTTCTATAAAGAAAGACAAATATCTTTCATATAAAATAATGATGTGAAAGATATTTGTAAAGCAATATTCCTTCTCAACACAAGGAGCCTGTGAGTCAGAGGAACTTGCCCTTGAGCATCAAGCTAAAATTCTTTCAGATGTATCAGCACATGCATCAGTATGCATCAATGAGAAAAATTCAAGGGAAAGATTACAGAGAAAGTGGAGTACAGTCTTAAATGAAAATACAATCTATATGTGTTGAACTGATTTTAATTTTTGCTATAAAGTCCAGATTGTTCTAGCTCCCTCTTTAGTGCTCCATACCACAGCAGCATACACAACAACTTAATGCCTTGGTCAGTTAGATAGATTTAGAATAGTGGGGCTTTTTTCCCCTAGTTCAGTTTATTGACAGGTTGGCATTTGATCTACAACACAGCACTTCTTTTTCATAGAAATAATCTGCATGTCGATGCTAAGGCACAGAGCACTGCATTGCCTTTCCACAAATCAGTATTTCAGTCTCTCCCTTCAAGCAATGTCTTAACCCAAGTGGCAGCTGGTTAAGAAATATTGGCTTTCAATAAGATAACACTTCCCACGGAAACTAGTTGCCTGAAGGAAAAAGCTTTATCATTTAGCGAAGACATTAACTTAAGCAACTGAATGGAAAGCAAAATTGCAAATGGGTCTGCTTATGTTCACCTGATGCTGTTGCAGAGAGGGCTTGGCCCACCTCTTGCTAGGGACAGGGCAGGGGGGCTCTGGTTGAGACGGATGCCTCTGCTTTGGTGATTTCTGCATGTTCTCAAGGCTTGATCTGAACACAGTTGAAGGGGACCTGCCAGTATGGGCAGTGAAGCAGGATGGGGCACAGCCTCATGTGCCCCATGCATGTGCCTCATGACTGAATACAAACAGCCCAGTGGGGGACCTGGGGTTCAAGGCGAGAGCATAGTTGTCCCATGTCTGCATAGTGCCTAGTGGAGAAGAGTTCAAACCATGAGGGGGAACCACCACTGAAATAAACATGGCAATTATTCGTGCCTCCTCATAGAAGAGCCTCTTGTGTTCAAACAGCTTGTTACTGCAGGAAGAGTAGTTCTCTTTTCCTGCTAGAGTAACAGGAAAATGGAATGACACCAAAAATGTAGCTGCAAACTTGCTGGCGTGTGAGTGCAGGATTTTCCACTGACAAGTCATCTGTGCCGTTGCCTGCATGGAATATAGACCCTGTGGTCATGCCATAAACAATGCATTCCTCCATGATCCTTCTGGGTGCAGAGTCATGGGAGCAGTGTCGTGGGAATGATGTCCCTTGTTATCAATACTGGCTGTTCTTGTAACCCTTGTTTGGCTGCTTCTTCCAGTGCTTTCTCACATGTGCACGTTTCCATCCCTACAGCATTCCTGCCAATCTTCGTATTTCTGTTAAGAATCTCTCCACGAGGACTGGCCTGGCTGGATTGCTATGGATGCAGTCTGGGGGAAGTGCTAGTGTCCTAAAAGTGATGTTCTGTCACATCTGTGGAAGGCTTTGTGTATGTGAAGCTTTCCATATGCCAAAGTGGAGAGGCTTTGTATATATGAAGGTTTCTATATGCCAAAGTGGAGAGGCTTCGTATATATGGTTTCTATATGCCAAAGTGGAGAGGCTTTGTATATATGAAGGTTTCTATATGCCAAAGTGGATTTGCTCCAGGACCAGAAGAAGAAGTCCCAGCTTCACCCCT